AGGTGTATGGAGTTGGGACATCGTTCAAATGAATGTCCTAAGAGAATGATTGAAGGGCAAACACATTTGGTTGATGAAGTCATTGATGAACAACAAGGTGACATAGGCCATGTTGAGGATGAGCAAGTGGCTGAAACTACTGAAGCTAATGCTTTAAAGGAAGAAAACTTGGATGGGGATATTGAGGGCAAAGCTCTAGTGATACGACACTCAAAGGTTGCACCTCAAGAACCACTACCAGGGGACTGGTTGAGAAAGAATATTTTAGAACACGTTGTACAGCTGGTGGGAAGTTGTGTAACCCGATTATTGACAGTGGGAGTAGTGAGAGAATCTTGTTTCTCAAGAAATGGTGGATAAATTACAGCTCAAGATTGTTCAACGCCGATCATATGTGGTTCAACAAAGAAAATAAGGTAAGAGTTTCTTCTAAATGCCTAGTTAATTTTTCTATTGGTAATACATTTGAAGAATCAATATGGTGTGATGTTGTCCCAATGGATGCATGTCATATCCTCTTGGATCGTCCATGGTAATATGATCATAAGACCATTCATTATGGGGACAAGAACACACACAGCTTTGTGAAAGACAATAAGAAGATAACTCTTAAACCAATGCAACTTGATTAATTTCCAAAGAAGGAAACAAAGCCAACCACTACTCTCTTCACCTCAAATAAATTGGCTCAAGAATATGGGAATTTGGATGTTGTTTACGTGTTGGTTACAAAAGAAGTTAGCAAAGAAACACCTGTTCCAAAGTTAGTGAAGAAGCTACTTCATGAGTATGCTGATGTGATGCCTGAAGAACTACCTGATGGCCTTCCTCCCCTAAGAGGTGTACAACATCATATAGATTTAATGCCGAGAGCAGCATTGCCTAACTTACCCCACTATAGAATGAGCCCTAAGGAGCATGAGGAGCTCCAAAAACAAGTAACGGAGCTGTTGAAGAAGAAGCTGATCCGTGAGCGCTTAAGCCCATGTGCTATACCAGCTTTGCTCAAACCAAAGAAAGATGGTAGTTGGCATATGTGTGTTGACAGTCGTGCCATTAACAAGATTACAGTTAAGTACAGGTTTCCCATACCCCGCCTTGATGACATGTCAGACACATTGGCTAGTTCACAAGTCTTTTCAAAGATAGATCTAAAGAGTGGATACCATCAAATTCGTATCCAGGAGGGGGATGAGTAGAAGACTGCATTCAAGACTAAGGAAGGTCTTTATGAATGGCTAATTATGCCATTTGGGTTGTCTAATGCTCCTATCACCTTTATGAGGTTCATGAGCCAAGTTTTAAGGCCGTTCATGGGGAAGTTTGTGGTAGTTTATTTTGATGACATACTCAAATACACAGCCACTTAGGACACTTGAGAGCAATCCTAAAAGTCTTGAGACAAAATCAGCTATATGTAAATTTGAAGGTGTAATTTTATGACAGATCGATTGGTGTTTTTGGGGTATGTTGTTTCAACCAAAAGGATTGAGGTGGATCAAGAAAAAGTCAAGCTATTCAAGAGTGGCCAACACCAAAGACAATGACTGAAATTCGTAGTTACCATGGGCTAGCAACTTTTTATCGTCGGTTTATAAAGAATTTCAGCACTATTGTGGCACCCATTACTGAATGCTTGAAAGGAGGTGAGTTTACTTGGACTCTCGCAGCTGAAAAAAGCTTCCAAGAGCTAAAGATGAGGATGACGAAGGCTCCAGTATTGGCTTTACCTGATTTTAACAAGCTCTTTGAAATTGAATGTGATGCATCCCATGTTGGGATTGGAGCTGTCCTTAGCCAAGAAGGTCGTCCAGTTACTTACTTTAGTGAGAAACTCAATGATGCTAGAAGGAGGTATTCCACTTATGATGTTGAGTTTTATGCCATTGTGCAAGCGCTGAAGTTTTGGAGGCATTATCTTATCCAACGGGAGTTTGTGTTGTATTCAGACCATGAAGCATTGAAACACCTTAACTCCCAACAGAAGATAAAGGGAAGACATGCTAAATGGGTTGACTTTCTACAAGAATATAATTTTGTTTTGAAGCATAAGGCTGGACAACAAAACCGGGTAGCTGATGCTTTTAGGAGGAGAGTTCACTTGGTGTCAACAATGTCTACTAATGTTGTGGGATTCAACTCAATCAAAGACCAATACCAAGATTACCATTATTTTGGCCCTATTTGTAGAATCTATATAGTAGGTGACAAGGATATTCGAGCCAAGTTTGTGTGGAATGATAGTTATTTATTCATGGGTAATAGGTTATGCATTCCATCAAGATCCTTGAGGGCATTACTCCTTGCTGATTTGCATTGCAAGGGACATTTCGGTCGCAAGAAGACACTTGAAATGGTCTCCAAAAGGTACTTTTGGCCAAGGCTACAAAAGGATGTGTAATATTATGTTGATAGATGTAACTGCCAAANTTGAAATGGTCTCCAAAAGGTACTTTTGGCCAAGGCTACAAAAGGATGTGTAATATTATGTTGATAGATGTAACTGCCAAACATCTAAGGGGCAGAATCAAAATACAGGTTTGTATCTTCCCTTACCCATACCAGAAGCACCATGGACTGATATTACTATCGATTTTGTGTTGGGGTTGCAAAGGACAGCTAGGGGTAATGACTCTATCTTTGTTGTGATTGATCGTTTCTCTAAAATGACCCACTTTATTGGTTGCCAAAAGACTTTTGATGCTTCTCATGTAGCTAACTTGTTTTTCAAAGAAGTTGTTCGGTTGCATGGATTGCCAAGATCTATCACATCAGATCGTGACACAAGATTCCTTAGCCACTTTTGGAGAACTTTATGGAAGCGTATGGGTACTACCCTATAATATAGCAGTACATTTCACCCACAAATAGATAGACAAACTGAAGTGGTTAACCGAAGCTTAGGCAACTTGTTGAGGAGCCTAGTTGGAGACCACTTAAAGCAATGGGATCTTATCCTACCACAAGCCGAATTTGCCTTCAACGATTCAGTTAATAGATCTATAGGGAAGACTCCTTTTGAGGTTGTGTACGGTCGGTCACCTAAAAGTGTTGTTGATCTAGCTCCTATAACAGGGTTGCGGCGAGTGAATGATGATGTCGAAGCTTTAGATGAATCCATTCGAGAGATTCAAGAGAATGTACAGCAGAAGCTAAAAGAAAGCAACCAAAGGTATAAAGAAGCTAAGGATAAGAATCATTGGATGAAAGAGTTTCATGAGGGCGATCTAGTCATGGTTTATTTGCGGCCTGAGAGGTTTCCCGTTTGGACCTACCATAAGTTGAAGCAAAAAAAGATTGGTCCGTGTCAAGTGCTGAGACGGTTTGGTGACAATGCATATTAAATTGAGCTACCAGCTGATTTGTCAATTTCACCCATTTTTAATGTAACAGACCTCTTTGATTACCATGGGGATCTAGAACCAGCAACAAAGGATGGGCGAGGACAAGCACAAAGGGCTAGTAGTTCTAATGAGTTTGAATAAGTAGAGGGTGTAGAAGATGTCCGAAACACCAACACTCGAAATGGGGCCTATTTTAGGTTCTTGGTCAAGTGGAAAGGGAAGCCATCAATTGAGAACTCTTGGATTAGTGAAGAGGAGTTTATGAAGCTAGATGGAAACATGTGCAAGGCTGCTAAAATTGCTGCTCGCACGGGGTCGAGCTCTTTTTAATCCGACAAGAATGATGAGGCAAAGAAAAAGAAAAAATGTGTGTATGTATTCTGTTTTGCATTCTTGTAGTAGGATCCCAAAATGGTGTTTTTGGGTAGCTTTGTTGATAGTTTGGGACCTGGGGTATTTTCGTCATTTTATAAGTCATATTTTTTTGGGCAGGGGCAGTTGGGTGCATTTCTGTTGGGTTTTGGTCTCTTTGGTCTTTTGTAACAAAAGTTATCTTTTAGGGGTTCATTTGAAGTTAGTTTTGTTCTTAAGGAGTTGTTGGTGAGAGGGAAACTTTCTAGGGGCTTATGCGTAAATATTTTTAACTAGCTTGTCCAGCAAGCCAATGAGTCTTATAAAAGAGAAGGGGGCTGTTTCTGTAGGGGTCTTTTTTTAGTTCTTTCTCTCTTGTTTGAGCTGTAGCTCAGCCCCAGCTAGGGTTTTCAAGCATTGGGAGCTTGGATTTTGAGGAGTCGACCCATTTTGGCACCTTCCAATCCCTTCATTGCTGCGTGTCTGCGCGGGAGGCCAGCTTGCTGCCATTGTTACTGTAGCGGAACTGTTCCAGGAAGAGTTTTACTTCTGGTTCAGGTCTGAAACCCTAAAAATCCAACTTATTTTGCTGTTTTCAGCTTGGTATTTCTTGTGCTTATTGTTGTATACTTGAGGTACTACATGTAACTTGTCTTTCTGTCCACATCACTCCAAAGTCAAGTTCTTTGTTTGGGTGGCAGCTTTAGAGAAGTGTCTCACTAAAGAGATGTTGGTGAAGAAAGGTTTTAATTGTAATGATCTGAGGTGTAGCCACTGCAGTGTGTTTACAGAATCAATAAGCAATCTGTTTTTACACTGCAAGTTTGTTACAAAAATCTGGATTCTGGAACCACTTCTTAAGAAGCTTGAGGTTAAGTTGGTGTATGACAGCCTCACTTAAAGCTTGCCAGGAGGCGTGGCAGATCCAAGGGATGACAAAGAAAGGAAAGAGGTGCTAGTCTGCTATTCCCTTGGCAATTTTGTGGGCAGTATAGACAGAAACGAATAGCAGGGTTTTTTATCTCAAATCCTCTTCAGAAGAAGTCATCAATTCGGCTTTAGGATTTGTTAGAAATTGGTCGTCTATTCTTGCTGACTTTAAAGAGGTTACTTTTGACTGTAACTTTTTGAGGATGACCTTCTTTTGAGGTCCTTCTGGCTTTTTGTACAGCTTCTGATTGTACAAAGGACCTTTTCATTAATACAAGCATACTTTACCTTTTGCTCAAAAGAAAAAAGAATTGTAAGTGCAAAAATAGAAATACTATCTTGCTAATAATATATTGAAGTTTTTGAATCACAAACCTGTGAGAACGGAGAAGAGTCATCACTACAAATTCAGAATCCATTAGCAGAATGTTTCCTTGGGCATAGAGCTCCAATATAACATAGTTGGCACTAGCACCTAGTCCAAATTGAAAGAGGATAATCTGAAGCACAAATGTAAAACATTACAAATAAGGGGGCAATGAAAACTTCATTTAACAGCATAAAGTGAAACAAGGTTGTAATAATAAAAGAAATCTTATGGGCTATACACGATCATATCCAAGCTGCCGCACATCTTCTAGCCTTCTTGTGCGTATGTGCTTCCTTAATTTCAGAGTAAACCCAGAAGGAGTAGTACTCTTGTCCCTAGCAATAAAAAGGAACAAAGATCAATTACACAGCTAAATTTATCCTAATAAAACAATTAGAAGAAAATTGAAAATTTCCTTATTGACCATACCTAACATATGCAGTAGTATGCAACCGCACACCACTTTCCATTAACAACAAGACCTTCTCACTCTCCCCAGATTCTGTGACTCCGCTACTCTTCATAAGCTTGAAAATATATGTCTGAAAACATTTCTATCATTGTGAGAATGGATTTCTAAATTTCAACATACCCTCCCCGATTAGGTGTTACTGGGTAGTCAACAGCCAATCTCAGATAACAAAATCAAATATGAGTGATCAAAAAGAAATTATTCAGAACTAAAGTGTTACTATTACATACAATGAGAATAACAACCAAAGATCAGGAATTATATCGAAACTAAGGCTTCTATTTTTGCATTAGAAAATTTGGAAATAGAACTTTAGAAGTACCTTTGGAGAGAGATCATAGATGTTGGCACATCTCATGCCAATTAACCTTCGCAAGCACTTGACCTCAGCGGCCACATCTGCCGTGTTCATGCGAACCTTCACCATATTTATTTTATTCGTCTTTTCACAGTTCTCTGATTTTATATTTCCTTTTCCTGAGCTTCTGCAAAGAGGAAACAATGTACCAATATAAAGAAGCTGGGGCTTGTTACAAGAAAAAAGGTGAAAGTGAAAACATTCCCAATATAAATTAGAATAGCAATACAAGAAAAAGGGGAGCTTGCAATCCAAGAGCTCCTATAACAAAGTGTAAACTTTTACAGGATCCTAATACCGTCATCGTGATGGTCACATAGGTGTCACCTTTACTTTTGGTAATTATAGACTAGCAGACAGCTCATGCTGAACAATGGCAAACTTTGACATATGTAATTTGTGGGGATGCAATTGTTACCATGTCCTTAAGTATTGTATCATATAACTACTGCATTCAGCAATGAAAAAGAAAGCAATAAGGTATTCAATTTGGCTGTTTCACCCATCCTATAATAGGTCCTGAAAACAAAACTCAAAAATGGACTTAAAATGTCCTAAATTAAGAATACTGTCAGTATATAATGCCATTTGTGGCCCTAGTTCATAAGTGTAGGTTGAGTGATGTCCCATATGTTATTCTTTTGGCCCTATAGACCATGGACACATTGACAAATAGATGAGCCTTGAGTTTATATGACTTTTCAGCTAATGTAGCTTCATACAATACACAGGAATAGTGAAAGCTTATTATCTATCCACCTAAAAACCCAGTCTTTGCCCCCTTTCACCTTGCCCCTCTAATTTTAGCTTTCTTGTTTTTTTTTGATAAATTTAAGCTTTCTTGTTTGTGTAGATCTCAAAAAAAAGATTAAATCCAAAGCAAAAAAGAACAAAATAGTAACTAATCCTCTGAGAAGCAAAAACAAAACTTTACAGAGATTGACAGGGTGAATGAAGTATCACCCAACAACAATAACCTACAAACTGAAATGACGCAAAAACTCATCGTATGCAGCAGAAACACCATTACCATAAACCAGCTAATACATAAAAACAAAAACAACCCACGAGTAGACCAAGTTCAACCCAAAAGAATACTTGGGACACATCTGAAAATTCCTAAAATACTAACAGCCAGTCCACTATCATATCCCTATTTCAGCACAGATCTTCCCTATATTTCTTTTTTTCCTTTGAAAATGTTTTTTTTTTTTTATAAATAAGTAAGTTCTCTTATTAGATGAAAAGATTAGCTTATACAAGCAACCCTTGGAGAGGTGCAAGCTATTACCTCTCCCACTAAAGAAGAAAACAAAAACAAGTTAGAGTTGTGCCCAATACGAAAGTTGCTGCCCCTAGACAATCTGCCATAGCATTTCCTGATATCCCTGCCTATTGTATTCTTAACACATTCCTTGTCAGCGTCTTAAACTTCTTAACTTCATTCATCAAACACCAAACTACGGACTCTGGGTATTGCAGACAGCTTATTACTATCTTGGAGTCCCCATCAACTATTAGCTGTTCCACCACTAGTTGAGTTGCAAATTGAACACCTTGCAGGTCGGCTAATAATTCCACCATAGTAGAGTCTCCCACTCCTAAAGGACCCAAGAAGAAAAATACCACATTTCCAGCCGTTGAAAATGTTTATCTATTTCCTTCCAAATCCCCCAACAAATAGCAAATTCGGTGCAACTTGCAAGTCATAAACTTTTGCCTTTCTGCTTCATTGAATGGACAATCAGAAAATTTCCGTTGGGACTACATTGTAGGTTGTAGCAACAGTTGCACCCTAGGTAATGAAAAGAGGAATCCCCACAGAAGTGAAGTCTTACTGTAACAAGTGAAAAACGGTGCCTGATATCTTCTATTCTCTCTACACATGCAACATACACTTTCCATTTGAAATCTTCTTTTCTTTAAATGATCAAACATGAGAATGTTGTCCAGTTGATCTAACCACAAGGACTTCCTCCCTTGAAGGAATAGGATTGCCACAAGCTCCCCTTATGTTAGACCCCTCCACCTGGCTGCAAATCAAAGCCTTGCAATATGGTATAACAGTGAATTTTCCATTTCTGCACTTCATCTCATATCTTTCGTTTGTTCACGTCAAAAATAATTAAAAGGTAAATCTTAATTGAGAAAACCTTCTTGTCTCTCTTATATTTATAGTAAAGAAAATATATGTACTGTTCTACTTCACCATTTCAAAAACAGGTGCTACTATAAGAAAGAACATCATGAAGCCTTGAAGTCTGCCTCTTCCTAATCCTCTTTGCTCCTTCTGCAATGAACCCCCAGAATCCTCAAACCATCTTTTCATGCATTGTAGCTTCTCTCAGCAGCCATGGAACATGGCCTTATCCTGTTTTGGGATTCATTACTGCTTGCAGGAATCATTACTCCAGCTGCTGCAGTATTGGTCTATAATAGGTTTGAATAGAAGGGGCAAATTTCTTTGGAATACCTTCCCAGCTGCTCTCATCTGGACATTGTGGAAGGAAAGGAATAATCGTATTTTTTACAACAATACTCTGCCTTAGAGGAAGTCATAAATTTTCTTATAGGTTTGCTTTGTTCTTGGCTGGGTGTACAAAATATATTTCATGGTGTCCAGTTCATCTCTTTTTTTGAAAGCTGGACACTTTTATAGTTGACTTTTTTTGTTCTGTTTATTCCCGTTGTACAGGTCCTCATTGTACATGGGTTGATGTACTTCTGATCTTAATAGTAAACCAATACAATACCAATACTTCACCTTTCCAAAGTGATGTATAAGAGAAAAAACACATTTCCACATAAATTTGGAAATACATTCTAAAACAGAACTTCTCCAATCTTGTTCCATATTTCTCCCATCAATTACTCAATATATACATGACTGAACCATTCAACAGCACAAAAAAGAACCATTCAGCAGAGTTAGAACAAAATCCTAATACCAAAAAAAAAAAAAAACTAATAATGCATTGAATCATTGTAAACCTAACATTACTAGACAGAAAAAAATATGCTTGCCGTTTTTTAAATTGAGGAGAGTTCCAACAACATTATTTTTTTATCAGAAACTGAAAAGGATTTTATTGAGAATGCCATAGATATAAAGTTCAGAAAAAATAAATAAATAAATTGTTCCTAACCTTTCTTGCTGTGACGTTCCAGAATGGATGCAAACGGATGGGATATAATATTCAGCCTTGACAACTGGAAGAGTAGGAAATAATATTCGGCCTTGATTGAAGACCAATATATGCAGGAGGAAGAAGACTGAAAACGGAATTGATGACTTGGGAGTTGAGAGGAATATAATATTCAGCCTTTATTTGGAAAGACAAACCGAGTTCCAGACCAGCCTTTATTTGGAAAGACGAACCGAGTTCCAGACCAGCCTTTATTTGGTACGGCCTTTATTTCGTCCCTTAGTTTCGAGCAGCGGCAAGAAACAGCGCCATGGCTTTGGCGAGATTGGTGGCAACAATCAGGGATGTGGAGCTCCAATCAGAGGCAATATTGGTCGCGGCGAATGATGGCAGCGAGAAACAGCGGTAGAAGCTCGTCACCGGCGATGTTGAAGCTTGTTTTGACGATTTGAGCAAACCCTAAACAGAGAGGAGAAGAAGAATGTTTCGAACAGAGGAGAAAGAAAAACTTTAGAAGGAAGCTAATGGATCACTCGACCCGAAACAGAAGATCCGACCCAACCCTCCTATTGACCCGCTGTGCAAATGAGTGGGCACGTACCAACATGAAGTGACTCGCCACCTTTTGCCCAGGCTGACCAACCACTAGTTCGAAGAATTGAACGATTTCCTTGGAGAAGACCGCCTCCTTGCTCTTGACGAGACTCAACTTAGGATTCATGATGCTTGGATCCACTTCGGAGCCCTCTCCTAAAGAGTTGGCTCCTCAAGTGGCCTGGAGCTCAAGCGCTGGTGTCTCCTCGGGTACACGGGGCGGGGAACCCGTACCTTGGTCCCCTTCAACAATAACTGGGGGGTTCTCGGAAGGAATGGTCTCGGCAGTGGGTTGGGTAAAGGCCTGGGAAGCGGTCTCTTGTGCATAGGCTTTTTAGGCAACCTTCCTCTTCTTCCCTCTCTTCATGCTCCCGAAGAGTTCGCTCGACGGAATGTCTTCCATGATCCCTACAAAAAAGCTAAGTTAGAATCATCGGAATAGGCGAAATGGATTCACAAAGACAAGTGTGGGCACCGAGGTGGTAACCTACCAGGAGGACTCAGCCTGACTTTTATGAGCTTCTCATCGAACAAGAAGTCCTCTAGTTGCAGATCGAGCTGCGCCCAAGAGCAGATTTTCGCCTTTATCTCCTTGTCTAACTTGATGTCGGGGTCTTGGATAGCCGATCTCTAGTGAGTCGGGAATGGCCACCCCACAATATTGCAAACCATGAAGTATCGCCTCTTCCAAGTCGGGACTTTATTGAGGAAGCCATGTAAGACCTTATATCCGGGCAAAGGAGACATGTAATAGCTACGCCTATCATCCTTGGGGGTACAGGCAGAGTTCTTGATAGAATAGATTGAACTAAAAATGTCAAGGGTTAAGGGCCTACCATAGCTATGGAAGAGAGAGATGGTACCTACTAAAAATGGAGCGGATTGTGTTGGGGTGGAACTGATCTATGGTGATGTTGAATAATTTAATGACCTCGATGAGAAAAGGGTGAAGTGGAAAACGCAGCCCGGCCACAAGTTGCTTCTCATACACCACAATTTCGTCCTGATTATGCTTCCAAGGGTATCTTCCTAAGGGGATGTTGTATACAAGGTTGTTGGGGAACTTATAACGAGTCGCTAGTGCCAGGAGCCAGTCAACCATCATGACCGAAGCTATCTGGCCCCCAAGAGCAGCGCGAGGTAGAGGTTGCCTTCCCGGATACCTCGTGCTCTTGTCGAGGTGCATCCACCCCAGACGGGTTGGAGTCAGAATCACGCACCAAAGTGTTCACCTTGGTAGGACCTGACTCTTTAGCCTGTGCCGAGGTCCCCACCTCGGCTCCGGCAGATTCATCACTTAAGTTGAAGAGACTACCAGGGCTGACACTAAACATGTTGAACTAAACAAAAAGGAAAGCTGAGTAGAAACGGATGTAAGGACAAGATG